GGGGAACCCTGCACACATACCCTTGGAATCTAAAACCAAAAAAATTGAGATTCTTAACTTAAGACAAGTAACTATTTGAAAAGGAAAGTAGTTATTCTTCATACCTGGATAACGCGCTTTATGTTTTACATGAGTGTGGTCATAGACAGAGAATATTATAGGATAAGCTCAACAGATGAGACATGGGGCAGAACTATAAACTACTGCTGCAAAATCTTGATAAGGCAATATTTAAAAGCATCTAAAAACAAAAACTGGGGAAAGAGTATAATAAAATTACAAATAATAGTGGTAATACTCATGCCTTTTCCCTAAGGAACAGAACATAGAATTCTGTATTGTTGTGTCTCTTTCAAGTGGCACAATTAAATGAGCCTGAGGTCAGCATGGAAATTACTAGTAGGGTAAAAACCATAAATTAGGAGCCATATTCTCTATTCAGTATCTTTGGCTCCACAGTTAAGTTAGACTATATTTCTAGCTAAATCTCTGAACACTTCCTTTGAGCAAGCAATAGTTGACACTAGAATATCACCCCTTAGTCATATGACTTCCTGAAAATTTTCTGTCATCACAATGCCACTCAGTAAGCAAGACACTTAGGCAATTTGTTTAATCTAATTTCTTCTCTGGTAGTTTTGAGATATTTAACAACTCTATGTTACTAAATAGGTTAAGATGTCAAGAACTATACATTGTGATGGACCAATCTTCTTTATTCTAACCTTGTATATAGACTTCCCCAAAGGGGAGATGTTATTAATGGAATCTGTGCTTTCCTCCTGTCTTTACTTACTTTCTTCTTTCTGTTTCAAATCTATGGAGTAGTTTCCGAAGACCACCATTCTTAAATCCCTGAAAATGGGCAGCTGGGGCTCCCACAGTGATGACATCGTAGAGAGCATCTGGAATAGAAATAGACAAGGAGATGAACACTTTGCAAACATTTATCTCCGCCATGCTGTTTGCATTGAAGTATACCTACTGTAGGAAATATGAGGAATTACTCTGTTTAATTTTGCAGGAATAACTATGAACTCACATCTCAAGGGGGAAAGAGGAGCTAATCAATCTTTCTAAAAGCCACCTGTGCACCTAAACAAGATATAATATTTTCCTGATTTATGACTACATCTTAATTCTATGCTACAGTGTAGAACAGTGTGTTCTCTCATTATTCTACATACTTACTGAGATAACATGTTAATTGCTCTTTTGTGTATTTTACTTTATTGAGTTTTGCATCATTTAATTTGCAATCACGTTGAAATTCAACAATAATGAACAATCTTTCAACCAAATTTTACATAGAAAAAAACCAAAATATTAGGCATTTTGACTCAAGGGCAGAAGAGTGCTAGTGCATTTTAAAAAATCTATACAGAGTACTTTCCTGATTGTGTATACTAAATCTTACACAACTTCAAATGGATGCTTTTGCAATTTCCGTAGGTGACATAGAAAGAATACATAAAATGTTTCTTGTTCTGTTTTCTAGTAAGACACTTTGTTTTTATAACAAAAAAAATCCATACTTTTAAATTGAAACTTAATCCTTTGATCTTGAAAGCCATGAAGTTTGATACATACTAAGTTTACGACTTGAAAACATGCCATCAGTTTTACATTCTAATGCAAAGTATCCCCATAAGAAGGAAGACAGAGTGAATGGTCTCTTGTTAAACTACATTTTATTTGAGAAACCTAATTTCATAGTAGATCCTTGTCAAATTGATTTTGCTATTGACACTTTGGTTGTTCTTCAGATCTCATTTACTAGGAAAATATAAATTATTTTATTAGCTTCAGGTAAACACCATAACTTCTTCAGAGCAGTTCAATCCAGATGCATCTAAAAATTTTCTTTCAATAAAAAAAGTCTTCAAGCGAAACAGCATTCAGAAAATGCAAGATCATAAGAAAGAATACAACACAAACCAACCCATCAATAAGGCATATCATGAAAATCACTTAATAGTTAACTGTGTCCTGTTTAAAAAGTCACTAATAAACTAGAAGTCAGCTCTTCTTAAGATAGCAGAATATTAGATTTGTAAAAAATTTAAATTTTTTCTAGTTCAGGGGATTTTAACCTAGGGCTAAGACACTGGTTTCAAGGTGTCCAAGAATGTTTGTTAATTACATAATTACGTCTGTTCTATGTCATGGAAAGGGATCACAGCTTTCTCAAAGGGTCATGAGATCACCCCAAAGTTACCAACATTATATTCTAGTCCACCTTCATTTATCTGGTAAGAATCCTGAGGACCATTACAAGCTAACTGCTTTGTCCATTTACCTGATAAGAAGCCTGAGGATCATTAGAAGTTAACTGCTTTGTCTAAAACCCCAAGGATTTTACACTCAGGGACTTCTGGCTTCGAACTCAGTGACAGAGAGTACGGGTTCCCTGGTGGTTTAAGTTACCGATGGGAACCTGAGTGCTGGCTTTGGATTCCAGATCTGCCACTTATTTAACTTCTCTATGTCTCAGTTTCCTCACTTATAAAATGTAGTTGAAAGTAGCTAAAAGTGGTAAGCATTTAGTAAATGTTATCTACGATTATTATTTTCTGTATAAGAAACAATCGCACCAATTAAAGGTGATATAGTAAATTTTGTCTATTTCCCCATAAAAATAAAGTTTTGAGTCTGAAAGGAAAAATGACGCTGGGGCTCAGTCTTCTGAATGGAATGAGTTCCCATGTTAATTAAAATGCAAAAAGACAAATTATCATGACAATGCAACAAAATATGCTGCATTTCTGCCAAAAACCGGGTGACCAGCAATACCAACAATATACAGAATGACTAAAAATATTATTCAGCCTTAAAAAAGATGGAAACTCTGCCATCTGCAACAAAATGAATGAGCCTGGAGAACAATATGCTACATGAAATAAGCCAGTTCCAGGACAAACACTCCACTTACATGAAGTATTCAAAATAGTCAACCTCATAGAAGCAGAGAATATAATGGTGACTGTCAGGAAATGGAGAGGGGGAATGCAAAGTTGCTATTCAATAGGCATAAAGTTTTAGTTATGCAAAATAAGTTCCAGAGACATGCTGTAAAACATAGTGCCTATAGTTAATAACACTGTATTGTTCACTTAAACATGTATTAAGAAGGCATATCTCATGTTAAGTCTTCTTAAAACAACAACAACAACCAAAAAAAAAAAAAAAAAGGCCACAAAAAAACCTTTTAGACTTGATGGGTTTGTCTGTTACCCTAATTGTGGTGACAGCTTCATGGGGGTATGCCTATGTCCAAATTCATCAAGTTGTAAAAATATATGCAGGTTTTTGTAGGTCAATTTTACTTCAATAAAGCTGTTTTACAAAAAATGTAGACATATATTCCACTAAACCTAAACTAAATGTATTCTTACTTCAACTTCCCCCAAAACATTGCCAGTAGCCTTTCCACAACTACCCAATAAGAAGGGAAGGAAAAGGGAGGGGAAATCTGAATAGAGACGGAACTCTGAATTAATGAAAGTTTAAATAACTAACTTTTGTCAAATTTGCAAAAACATTTGCCCACAAGCATGTTTATAATTCCTTGTAGTGTCTTGTAAGAGGCCTATGCAAGTGGCAGGCCCTGACACTTTAGCTGTTTCAGCTTTACGGTGAATCTGTGTCTTCAATTCATCCGTAATTTCAGCATCCTCCAAAGTGACTCTCTGGGAACAGAAACAGTCTCTATTCATCCACCTCCTTGCTCATGAGAATTCTAGACATCTATGAAGAAACCAAGACATTTTGAAATAGCAGGAAAAGAAGCAGCATGGTGTTTGAATGGTCTCCTCCTCTCATAACAAAGAACTGATTGTTTATTGTTAAATCTAAATGAAGGAGTTTGTGTTTCTATAGAACCATCTATAATACAACTCCTAAAGTTATGAACAAGCTGTTCTGTAAAGTTCTGATGTTTTCTTTTAATTCTATTTTCTATTTATGAACTCATCCCTTTTAAGGTTTTCACACCGTATTTTTACCAAGGACTATGAAATCTCTTGACTAGTTCTGACCTCTTCCAAACAAAATAATGCAATTCCTAACAGCTTTATGGGCAAGTCTGAGTTTCAAAACCTATTCAGCTTAACATGTTCTAACTCTTGACCCTAACTGGCTCTTCCTTCCTGGTTCCCTGTGACAAATACAGAAAACACATTCCTTTAAGCCTCCAAGAGTAGAGTCCTCAAGATCATGTTCAATTTCTCTCCTTCCCTCATCATTGTATCACATCAGTTCTAACAACTCTGTTACAAAATCTTAATTCTCTTTGTTCATGTTACTTATCTTTATCTTAGTGCTCACCTTCCTCATTTCTTGTCAGGATGACTACTGTCTCTCAACGTTAGCCTCTCTGCATCCACAATGCAGTAGTTCACTTTTATATGAGTGGCCAGTCGGTTACTCTATCTGACACACAGCCTTCAATACTTAATTCCTCCTTATAAATGTTCATAGTAGAACATTAAAACATCTTAAGGTCATATTTAGGTCATCTATGACCTGGGTCCAATTCTTCCTTGGTCACATCATCTAGTGTATTATAAGCACCATGAAAGTGAAAATTATTGTAATCCCAGCACTTTGGGAGGCCGGGGAGGGCAGATCAATTGAGGCCAGGAGTTTGAGACCAGGCTGGCCAACATGGTGAAACCCTGTCTCTGCTAAAAATCCAAATATTTAGCCAGGAGTGGTGGCAGCCAGCTGTAATCCCCGCTACTGGGGAGGCTGAGGCAGGAGAATCACATGAACCTGGGAGGCACAGGTTGCAGTGAGCCGAGATCACGCCATTGCACTGCAGCCTGGGCAATAAGACTGAAACTCCATCAGAAAGAAAGGAAAGGAAAGGGAAAGGGAAAGGGAAAGGGAAGGAAAAGGAAAAGGAAAGGAAGAAGGAAGGAAAGAAAGAGGGAGGGAGGGAAGGAGGGAGGGAGGGAAGGAAGGAAGGAAGGAAGGAAGGAAGGAAGGAAGGAGGGAAGGAAAAAATTATTGTAGTCATTTTTAAGAGTATATCCTCAATGCCTGACACATGGGAGGTACTCCTCATTTATAGCATGATTGTCTGTTGTCCAGTTACAACAGTAGTTCCACATTTCTTGAAGTCTTTACATCTTCGTCTTTGTGTTCTCTGACTTGGATATTTTTCCATCCCAACCTCCCTTCCGTTTCTTTGCTACTGAAATCCCACTGCTCTTTTGCAATCAAACTCAATTATCACCTTCTCTTTGAAGCCTTTCTGAATATTCCAGTCAGAATAATAATTTTTATCTATACTTCCACATTGCTTTGTCTTTACCTTGAAGATGTAATTCCTTATGATAGTTTCTATATTCAAATAAAATAATGAATGTGGTCATAAAATTGTTACAATTGCCTTAAGACTCATATTCTTCACTGGATATATGTTATTTGTGGATAAGAATTATACTTAATAAACAATAACAATGTTAATAATAATGATGGTGACAATATAGTAAGAGCACAATAAAAGTTCCTAAATGAATGAATAATTATGACAACAGCTGGCATTTACTCAGTGCATACCTGAACCCTTACTCTAGGAGGTACTCTATTTTCAGGAACTCATTTAATTTTCAAAATAATACTATAAGATAAATATAATTTCCCCAACTTTATAGATAATAAAACAGATTCTCCATGAGATTAAATAATTTGTCTAGTCTTAATGCTAGTAAGTTTTGGATCTGATATATTTTCCAAAGTCTGATTCACTAAACAAAAGAACTTATACTATAAACAACCTTCAATGTCTTAGTCACGCTTAGATTCTTCCATTAGCTGCAGCAACAATGAGCATATACTGGATGCTCAATAAATTTGATTTGTGTTAACATTCTAGATGTTTGTTTCTAAAATAGAGATG